ACAGGGATCGAGCCCCAGCCCCAAGGGCTGTGCTGAGGAGGGGAGATGAGAGAGGAGATCTGTGCCAGTGTGAGACGGGCACAGCCTGGGCAGCACACCAAGGACCATGAGCTCCCACCCTCCTCTGGAAGCCCTTCTGTCCCCAGTCTCACTGAGGCAATGGATGGCACTTCCACATGCACGGCTGACCAGCCCATGTGAACACAGGTTGCAGCGCAGGCTGCTTCCAGAAAAACCACTGATTTCACACTAAGACATCCTTCCTGTGTGCTTTTCCATCAGCTGGCTCCTGGGGCTGCCTGGTGCCCACGTTGGGCCCCCCATGAGACGATGCCCTGCTCCAGGCAGTGTCACACGGGCCTGAGGCCACTCCTTGAATGGGCACATGGCCATGGCCACTGCGAGTGGCCTCTGGAGCAGTGGCCTGCGACAGCCAGCTAAGACACCACAAAGCTGCTGGGGCATAACCCCTCCTTTTGGAGCTTTGTTGACACTGAAACTGGTACACTGACCACACCAGAAAGTCCTGCTGCTTTTAAGAAATGCAGCAAACACCATTAGGTATTAGTAACAAAGATCTTTTGATTGTTTAACTGATTGTCACAAAGAAATCTTTTTACTTCTGAAAGCAACTTTGGCTGAGACTGAATCCACCAATTCCACAACTTGGGCATCCAGCAACCAGAGGGAAGTGTGGCTCTTTACAGAGCTCTTCTGTGGCCTGTGAAAAATTTCTTGTAGACATTTTTGAAGGAAAAAGTAAGTTGTTACTACAAATCACAAGACTGCAGAACAAAAACATGCAATACACTGTGTTGCGCAAAGGTCACCATTCAAAACCAGCTGTCGAGGGAAAGTTAAAGAAGAAAGGCACAATTCCCTGTACTTAGTTGTCATTTTAGAAATAAGCTTACATCTTTTCACTGTTTAAAAATACACTTTGAATAACAGCACAGAGAGAAAAGAAATACAGATATGGTCAGATTTTTTAATGGTTTCTGCAGTGTCATACAGTGTTAAGATAAAATTAAGAAGCCATTTAAAACACTGATAGTTCACAAAGGGCACTTTCTTTTTGACAGAAATAAAAAAACAAGCCAAATTTGTCAGAGACTGCTATTTCCATTCTGATTCCAGAAGCTGTGGTTACTGCTGCTGAACAGAGAACTCCTTCCTACATGATTTTTTAGGGAAGAGGCAGAAACAAAATGGATTCCAGTTAATTTTTTTTCATTTTAGGCATGTTTTCATGGTTTTATTCACTAAATGTTCAAACGCACTTCTTTGTTCTCTTTTTCGTTTTGCAGGTGTACTTTGGATTTAAAAACAGCCACACACTACAAACCTGCCAAGCCCAGAATTGGATCACACTCACCCCTGGTCCCTGAGGAAGGGGCCAAGTGGGCAAAGGATAAAACAGGGAGAAGATAAATTGGGTTTTGTACCCCTTAGTGGCTGGACATCAATGCTGCAGCTCTGAAAACTGCCTTTCCAAAAAAAAAAAAAAAAAAAAAAAAAAAAAAAAAAAAAAAAAAAAAAAAAAAAAAAAAAAAAAAAAAAAAAAAAAAAAAAAAGAAGAAGTTGAGATTAGGATTGCAGCTATTTGTAGGGGAAGAAATATGTTAAAAGGAAGGTTTTAATGAAGAAATGGATGAAAGACTTCCAACTACAGGAGATTAACGTTCTTATCTTATAAACTCTTACTGCAAAGCGGAAGGAAGGGGTGGGGGGAAGAGCCCTCCTCCAAAGACCTGGAAACTCTCTGACACTGAAAATTAATTATCTACATTTAGTGCACAGCACAGTTTGTCATGATTGTCTTTACACACTTTCTTCTGGACTTAAAACTTAAAAAAAAAAGAGGGGTAAATAATACCAAAGATCTAGATTTGCTGGATTATCCATTTTTGAAACACCACGTGAAGCTGATAGGACCCTTTAAGCAGAGCAACCAGCAGCATTGTCCCACACTTTTCTGAAAGCCACGCTAGGAAGCCCACTGGCAGCCAGGTGGAAACAAACTGGTACCTGCCTTTTGGCAGAGAAACCATGCATTTCACAGAAATACAGGCACAAATAGACTGTGGCTTAGTGTGGTATTAGACAAACAAAAATAAAATGTGGAAGGCACCTAGAGCCACAGGGAAGCAGGTCGGAGAGGTGAAGGAAGGCTCACATCTCTGCACAGAACACTGGTGCTCATGGACTGGCTGTAATCTGCAGGATGGCAGCTGAGGAACAAAGAGTGAACCCTGATCTGCCAGAAGGGCCCAGAGCTCATGTGCCATGGCAAAGGGACATCTCCTTCCATCACAGCAGACGCTGGTGACTGGATCTGGAAGGTTGCATGAGGAAAAGACTCTCTGTGTACTGGAGGCATCAAGACAGCATTATCTGTTTACAGTGAATATTAAAAATAATAAGGCTGTTAAACAAGAGCAGGTCAGGCAAACAAGGAGTAGAGGAGTGAACAGAATTAGGAGGTATACTGAATTCCTTTCCTTGAAGAGTTGTTTTGGACTCCAGTGGAGGCTCAGCATCTCTGCCAGGAACTCAGACATGAAAACAGACTCATCGAATAACTGACACAACCGGCTGCTTTCACAGTCAGAGGACTGTCCACATTTCAGTTCCTTTTTTCACAGGAAGCAAACTGGACACTGGACACACCATGACACTGTTATGGGAGGTCTGTCCCATGTACAGTCACAGGTAGTTCTCGGGGAGAAGGGAAAGGCAAGGCCTCACCAGTCCCTATACATTACAACCACCCCTACTGACACCACAGGCCCTAAAATTGTAATTAACATACTATGTCATCACCAAAACACCTGATCTCATTTCTTTAGAAACCCTGAAAACAGAACTGTGCATGTCTCAAAACAATTTAAATGAATTAGCAGAGATTATCTTTGAGAGGATAGTTTGTCAACACACATATTTTTAAAATGCATTCCTTTGAACACTAAATTTTTATGTTCATGTTTCAGCAAAGAAGTCACTTATAGAATCACACAATCCCTGAATGGGAAGGGACCTTAAAGATCATCTTGTTCCAAGCCTCTGCCATTGGCAGGGGCATCTTCCACAAGACCAGTTATATAATACAATCTATATTATTTATTGTAGTCTATACGACGGGAGATACAGTGCTGCACAAGCTCAATAAACAAATAGGGTTACTGTACATTAGGAAGATTTATGGCTTTTCTTCCCTAACAGCTATTTTGATGCTCTTTTGGCTTTTCATTACACACACATATCTACAACACAATTTGTTCTAAGCCTACATCTTTGCATCCCCATCACTGTATGTATTAGAAAAGGAGCAGCTGAACCAAACTTCCACGCACTGGAGCTACCTGGATCCCATCCACCAGAATCTGGAGGGGTTTGGAAAGGCTTCTGGCCTAGGGTTGAAAATAAAAACCAGAATAGGAAAAGAGCGGGTGCATTTATGAGCCTCGTGTGGCTGTCTTTGACTTCCCACTCAAACATCTCAAAAACTGTTCACATTGCCGACCCTCAATGAAACAATTTTGGTTCTGGATAGCGTGACCCGTTCATACAGCATGGGGAAATCCTGCTCCTGTTGACTGCTCTGGGTGTGGCTTGCTTACTGCCAACATCCATGAACAGATCTACAAATCAGAAACAATACGAGGTTTGTCACAAAAACATGCTGTAAGTTAGCAAAACTGTCCCTTGGAACCAACCTCCTGTGCTGTTTTTAACAGCCTCCCCTCAGTGAGCACTGGCACACCCACAAAGAAATTCTTAGAAACTGCATTTTAAAGATTTACAGAGAGGAAAAACTACATAAATTTCAAGCACAGTGTGGCTGCCAGGGGTCCTGGCATGGTGACCGAACGCACAACAGTGTGCTTAGCTATGGAATAACACACACAGCTCTAGCAGAAGGTTATCAAACATGTGTTTCACCTGAAAAGAAGGCAAAGAGCATTCCTCAGCTCTCTCCTCTCAAACAGCTCAGCAGCAGTACATGAACAGCAGGACTATTTACAGACACCCCAACAAAAAACTCCACTGGTGTCAGCATCGCTGAACATTCCATTTCACTCCAAACTGCCTCATTTACATGTGCACTAAGTAAAATTATGGCGTACTTTTTTTTTTTAACTTCTTTTAAAGTATGGTCTACTTTACTTTATGAATAAACTTTCATTTCTTTCTCCAGCCCCTGATCGGGTCGTGGTTTCCCTCAGCCTGGCAGGGGACGCTGTTCCTGGGAATGATCTTTGTGCTCCAGGAAACCGGTAGGCAAGAAAAGATGCTGGCTGATCATCTAACAGAGTTTTCAGTTGCTAGTGACATGGTGTGTATCACACTGCATGGTTATTACAAATACAATACCTACACTCTGTCGCATTGACACGTTTACTGACTTTCTTCCCTGTAATGTGGAAGAGTATTTTGTAAAACACCAAAATGTTAGAGGTTAGCCTCAGTGGCTGGGGAGGGATCTCTCTGAATTATTTAGCTTACAGTCCACATAAGAAATTACACTCAATTTCAGATCAACAGCCCAAACTACCAGACTCCTGAGGGGACAGTTACCTGCTGAATTCAGGCAGGGGAAACACTCAGGTCTCCCTCTGCCCCTTGCCCCCTCCTGTTACCACTCATCCCTGTCCCAAGTTGCAAGGTCTCTGGTCTAGCACATATGAACTTTTTATACGCTCTTAAGAATACAAAATACACAGGAAGGTTGGAAAGTTCACAATACAAGCCACTCTGCTATTACTTCTAAATTTCTACCAGCAAAAATGCTGTCTTTCCTTTCATATGTCATGCTGCTGAAATAAAGGTATTGAAATGGTACAAATAATGGCCATTTCATTCACCACAGCATTGCATCCATCATCACACACTCCAGTTTGCTTTCTGTTTATCTTTCTTTTCAAACACTGACATCAGCATCGTCACAGAGAAATTGTCCCTCACACAGAAGAACAAACAAGCCAAAAAAAATCACTAACCTTCACTGGCAGGAGTGGCGCAGCCCTCAAGGTTCAAAATGATGTCTCCATCCCTGTCATCTGCACCAGCTCCCAAAAGCATCCAGCTCTCGACATTATCACTGTCAGAGATCAAGCTCGCCTCCTCTGAGCTGTCATCTATTACCAACACGTCGTGGGTGGACTCAGCTCCAGCAGAATGGATTGGGCCAGGCCTCCCAACAGCTTTTTTCCTCTGCCTTGGCATGCCCACACCTGATCCAGGGGGACACAGGGCATTATATCCAGCAGCTCTGGCATGACTTGGTGTGGAAGATACAGGGTGGATGTGTGTTTTATCTTGAGCTGAAAAGCTTCTTGACTTCTTTGCTTTGCTTTTGTAGATGCTGACTTCATCTGGTGTGTCAGATAGGACAATTATCTCAGCATCATCTGAAAGCTGAGCACCACCATCAGTGAATTCTTCATCCTGACAAGAAACAGGTTTCTTGTCTTCATCCTGTTTCTCAGTTAGAGCTGAACTATGACCCATAACTTCTGCAACACCAGCTTCTTTGTCAATTCCCAGCATGCTGATTTCTCCAAGATTCTGGGAATAGTGGATCTGGCTATAGAGATGGAACTCCACCTCACTATCAACACTCTGCTCACTGGATGACTCCTCGTGATAAAGTTCATCTTCGTACGCTTCAGAATCCTCAGCGTCGTCATACCCAGTGAACATTCTGGAAAGTAAAGAGTCTGTGTCTACAAAAAGCCAAAAGGTTCTATCAGAAGGGTCATATGACCAGAACAGTCCTTCAAATGATACCTCTAGTCTACTTGGAATTGTTCAGGTGAGTCATAGAGCTCTGTAGACAGAACATCACACAGAGAAGATTTAACAGCAATCTGTGCTCAAATCCATAACAGCAGAAAGCTACTTAAGGGTGTATTTGCTTAACTGTAATTACTACTTCAGCTCAACTACTCTGGCTTAATACATGTGGCATTTAATGTGCTCTGTGCTCCCATGTGAGGGAGGTCATCCCTCTGCTCACAGGGCCACACCTGCAGTGCTGTGTACAGCTTGGACTCTCCGATACAGACAGATGTACTGGAGCAAGTGTGACAGAGGGCCACTAAAATAATTAAGGGATTGGAGCATCTGTCATGGGAGGCGAGGCTGAGAGACCTGGGACTGCTCCTCCTCAGGAAGAGGAGGCTCAGGGGGATCTATCCTTGTCCATAAATACCTGGGGTGGGGTGAGTAAACATGACAGAGCTAGGCTCTCCCAAGTAGCATCCAGCAACAAGATGAGAGGCAACGGACACAAATAAGAAAATACAGGGAATTTCACTTAAACCTAACTATGTTGCCCAGAAAAGCTGCAGAGCCTCCCTCCTCAAGAATGTTCAGACTTCAGCAGGACATGGCCCTGAGAAAACTGTTCCATGTCACCCTGCTTTGAGTGAGAGGGCTGAAAATGCCAGAGGCTCCTTCCTACCTCAGCTATCCTGTGGTCCCTGCCCAAGGGCGAGGGTGTACAAAGTTCATTACCTGCTTTCTGTCAAGGAAGACAGGCAATACAGAGACATCCTAAAGTCACTCTGCCTCATTCAGAGAATACCTTACTTCATGTACATGACCACATGATGCACAAAGCAGAGGAAATGCTTCCTCTGAAAAGTCTGTCTGTATTTCTGTGTTACAGTTACTCCCAGGGAAGACAACAAGCTTTTTTTAGACATGAAAACTGTTAGATCGATTTCAGTTTTCTGGTTGTGGAAGAAAGTTCCATGGCAATATTTGAATACACATACTCATAAGCATGTACAAAAATTCAGATTTGTCAGCTCTGTATAGAAGCAATTTGTGTGATGGTATTTAAAGAACCCAAAGGCTCTTTCTGTGAAGGCTCTGCTTTTCTCACCCAGGTTCCTAGGTAAATGCAACACCTAATAGGCTAAATAAAATATGAAAGAATGAGGTGATAATAGATGAAATAAACCTACTCTACAGCACTACTTAGCTTTGGAGGCTGTAGATAGGAAGAAAAAGTTAAACACTGGTCACCTGAACAGTTGTAGTTAGAAAAAAATAGACAGAAAAGCATCTGACAGACTAAATGAAGCCCCTAAACTTCAGTATTTTTCTCAACTTCACATGAGGTCACCTTTTCAAACAGATCATCCATGGGGCGAGAATAAAACTCTAATCAAGCATGTTCATAAGATTAACCTGTAGTTATGGGGCATGAGAAAAGAGAGTTTCAGTAATATAAGAAATTAACCATTGTTAGTGATACTCAAAAAGTCAACTGAATACAAGCACTCCTTCCTTCCCTCGTTACCCAGTAGATAAAGTAAGTAGTGACCATTGCTGAAAGTATGCAGCTGGACAAGACTGATGGTTCTCAAGCATCTGAGGAGCTGACTCACAGACACTTCACAGCACAGCCAACAGCATGGACAGGCAGCAAGCACTACACTCACTTTGATCTATCCTCCCCAGAAGCTCAGGTCAAACAATGGCTCCTCCTCCTTCTCCTCTCAGGTCCACACGTGACTGGGATGATGAAGGGCTCTTCCTCTTGCTCAGCACGTACAGCAGGCCACTGGGAAACAAGAAACATCCAATTTAAGCACTGCAACATGGTATGAAGAAGCTCAGTTCCACTGGTCAGCATCCTCACACTCAGGCTGCAGCCACATGCCACCTCTTTAGGAGTGAGAAACAGCCGTGTCAGGGATCTGGCATCAAAGCAGACACAAACACAGCCTCTAAGAAGGGAAGAGGAGCTCAGCAGACAAAGTTGTGCTGTTTTTCAGATTGCCACAGTGAAGCAGTCTCTCACTGGCTTCATACTGATATCCAGAGAAAGACCTGACTGGAACTCAGATTCCCTTTTGCCAAAGACTATGGGCAATCATCCCTTTCCACAGAAATGTTTTGGTTGGAAAAGACCCCTAAGGTCATTGAGTCCCACCATTCCCCCAGCCATGATCACCACCGAACCATGTCCTTAGGTGCCACATCTATCTCACTACCAAATGGAATATCACAAAGACACCACTCATGTCTGAGTGTGAAAATCACATAAAAAATATTGGTCCTGCACAGTCTTACATGATTTGATAGGTAGGACAGGCTGCAGGGAGAGCAACAACACACTGACACATCCTACTTTGGAACTTAACTGACTAACTTTTAAAAAAACCCCCAAACTTCAAACCTCTGGCCACAGGAGAACTCCATGCTTTCAAGAGGAATCCCACTCCTACATGAACCCAGAGCACAATCTTTCTCAAAAGCACCTGACTGCCTCTCTGGTAGCCCCTAAGTAAGGACAGCTCAGGGAAAGGCCTAATGATGTTAAAATTAAAAACTCAAAGACATCTGAACTCCTTTTAACCATTTCCAAACAAAACTGCCAATGGCTGCAGTTAGCAATGGCAGGAGTCTTTTTCAAACCCTGCTTGCCAGCACTTTTTGTCTGGCCCATTAAAACCCTGATGTCCCGCACTTGATGCAGCAGCAGGGGCTGGCAGCAGCACCAGGCAGTGGGAAGGGAGGAACAGCACAAACAAGTTAATCAGAACATCCACAGCAGTTTTCCAGCTGCGCGCAGGCAGTGACTCTCTCAGTCAAAATCCCAAAGACGGTTTGGACACTGAGATGTCCTATACCTGCAGAAAGGCTTTGCAGTAAGATGCCCAGGGCAGTCCTTCTCATGTCATTCCTGTACACATATCTCAACCCTCCCTGCCAACCCCTTGTTTCCTGTGCACAACCCTCCTCCACTGCTGCAGGTGAGATGTGCGGCCACCAGTCACCTGCGTCTGCCTCTGGGGAGTAGAAAAGCCCTCATAGTGGAACATTGAAAAGTGTTGGGAGGCAGGTTGGGGCCCCTGCCCTCATTTTTCATGATCTAATGGTGATTTTTGGCTAAACCATGAGAAACAAACCCCATCCTTGTGCCGATTTACCGTGTGTTTGAGGAGACGTGACTGTTCTGGACTTTCTTTAAATGCAGTGCAAATAGAGAGGAAAAGCTTTGGAGAAGAGGTCAGGTGACAGCTATGCCTTCAAGAGACCACAGGAATATCTCTTCCACACTCGAACGCTGGAAAAAACCAAAACATTCCAAGTTTATTTCGATCCTTTAAGAAGATTTTTCTCCCTTCAGCCATTTTCCAAATTGTGTTTAAGAGTAACAGAGACTTGCTTGTCCTCGGATCCTAAGGCTGGATTTGGTCTGGTGGGCGGGACAAATCAGGAATGGAGATCCCGAGGGAAAGGCATGGAGATTCCGGGGGGAGGGGATGCGCTCCCGAGCATCGGGAGCGGCCGAGGGAGGATGCGGGGCGCTGATCCGGGCACACGCCGTGCCATGCGGGTATCGACCTCCTCCTGCGGAGCTCCGGGGCTGCTCGGAACCGGGGCTCGTTTCCGGGACTGACGGAGGGACCGCGACACGCCGGAGTCACCGGGACACGCTGCCGCCAGAAATACAGGGACACCATGCCCGGGCAGAGGCCGCCTGGCCGGCCCAGAGCGGCGGGGAGGGCCTGAGCCGAGGCCGCTGAGGCGTGGGGGGCCCCGAGGCCGGGGCCTCGGGGAGTAGGGTCCATCGGGACGGACGGGGGGCCAGGCGGTGGCGGGGCCAGCGTGACGGTGCTCACTGCCGGGTACCGGGACTCACTGACTGCCAAGACTCACTCAGTGTCAGTGCCGATAGTCCGTACTGGGACTCACCCGGTCCCGGGACTCCCTCGCTCGGTGCCGATGCCGGGACTCACCTGGGACGCATTCCCTCGGCTCCGACCGCGCCGGGACCCGCCGAGCAGGAAGTGGCCCCGCACTGGCCCCGCCCCCGGCCACGTGCGTCCGGCCCCGCCCCCGCATTCTGCCCCCGCCCGCCCCGCCCCCGCACTCCGGCCCCGCCCCCGCGCTCCGGCCCCGCCCCCGCACTCCGGCCCCGCCCAGGGAGTGGTTTGGGGGGCGCGGCTTTGGGGACAGTTTGCCGAGGATTGGGTGCTCGGGGACGGCGGTTCCCAGGGGTGCTGCAAGCCTCGGGGTTTGGTCTGCGCCTCGCCCGACAGCACAGTCCAGCCGCTGCCCGGGTCCTGTGCCAGGACCGCGGCTCCATGTGCGGCGGGGACTGAGTCCGCGCCGTGCCGTGCACCGCAGGCAGCGTGATCCGGGAGGAGACGGCGTGGGAAGGGACCTTACAACCCTTCCAGTGCCACCCCCCTGCCGTGGGCAGGGACACCTTCCACTAGACCAGGTTGCTACAAGCCCCGTCCAACCTGGCCTTGGACACTTCCAGGGAGGGGGCAGCCACAGCTTCTCTGGGCAACCTGTGCCAGGGCCTCACAGGGAAGGATTTCTTCCCAATATCCCATCTAATCCTGCCCTCTGGCAGTGGGAAGCCATCTCCCCTGTCCTGTCACTCCAGGCCCTTATCCAAAGTCCCTCTCCAGCATTTTTGGAGGCCCTTTAGGCACCGGAAGGGACTCTAAGATCCCCCAGAGCCTTCTCTTCTCTAGGCTGAACACCCCCAACTATCTCAGCCTGTCTTCATAGCAGAGATGCTCCAGCTCTGGGAGCATCATATGGACACGTGCATGCACATGCAGGTACATACAGGCATACACACACCATGGAAGTCCTGGCTGGACCTGTGTGCCCAGCAGCCATGGCTGCCTCACTGTTCCCAGTGGCCCTGCCCAGACATGTCTGCACTCACTGTCTCTTACCAGTGAGCTCCCAGAGGTCCTAGTCTCTCCGGTACACCACTCTGATGCTGGGAACCACCTTTATGATCAGTGGTGACTGCCCTTGTTGACATGTGCCTGCGCAGCAGGGATGCACTGCCTCCCTCCAGCTGCTGTCCTTCCAGACACAGCTCCTCTAGCCAGCTCTGGGACCTCCATGTAAATACGTGCATGCATCAGAAAGGGCCCCTCACGCAGGTAAACAGACATCTTATTTAATATTGCCAAATGGTGTCGTATAGGGGTGTGCATGGTGCGCTTCTGCCTTTGTGATCTTAACAGGTGGAATGAGCTGCAGCAGGTAGCAGCAGAGTCAGTCAGAGCCTCCAAGGAGCAGGAGAGGTGAGCAGGGATGAGTGAGAGGATGCAGGGAGCTGGGGGAGGCTGCACCTGGGATAGCAGTGCCTGGTCTCCCTGCAGCTGCAGAGCTCCCCCTCTGTTCTGCCGTGCTCCCCCGAGGCTGGCGGGGCTGCCTGTGCAGACAAACACGTGTGTGCTGCCGTGTCTGCTGAGCCCAGAGCTTTCATTTTCCATCTCATTTTTTGTAGGTATTTCAGACTTCGGGGGTTTCCTTAATGCAGCGCTAGTACTCTATTTTCAACTTTACCGGCATGTAATTACAGCCTGTGATTTGCCTCTGGGAACACTAGCACAGGTGTGTATGTGTGGGCTGAAAAAGTGCCTCTTGAAGGGTGAAATGATGTGTTTCTTTGATCCTCTAGGCTCTGGGTCCAGAAGGAAGTGAGCAAAACTGACCAACAAGAAGAAAGGTTTTATCTTCTAGCAGAGAGCAAGTAGAACCTGGCATAGCTGTGATGCCTGGTACTGGCCACAGTATGACACCTTTCAAAGCAATGCCTCCGGATGTTACAAAACCTTCTCAAATATATCATACAAATAATTGTGGTAAAACATATGCTGTTAAGATGATTAAAGATGAGCTGGAACTCCAGAATGTTATGCAACTGTCAGAACCCTGAGGATACTCATGGACTGCCTGGACCCGGGGCTGTGTCTGACCCTAATTCCCCAGATTCCTGACCCTGACACCTCTCTTCAGTCTGCCACGCTGCCATGGCCTTTGCCTGTCCCTGTCCCCAGGCAAGTGCCCGAGGCCCACCGTTGGGGCTGCCCTGCTGCTTGCTGGAGTGGTGAGGTGAGCAGTAGCCAGTAGGCCCTGCCCCATCAGCCCCTGCCAGGGAGCTACTGAAATGGTGTAAAACACATGTCTGGGGAAGGTCAGGTACCTTTCCTCAGAGCATTTCTAAGAAACAAAATTTTTGTGTATAAAACCAGCAGAAGAAGGATTAGAGCGTTTGGATTTAACACTGACTACAGTGGTATTTTACACTTGCAAGAACTCATTCTTGCCATATTTGCCCTTGAAAGGAAGTGGGTTTTTTGGTGGCGTCATGGCGGAAAGTCAGCGTCTCCCCTGAGGCGTCCTGCGCGGGTCAGCTGTCCCAGGGACTCCTGCTCTTTCCCACTGCCCGGAGCCGCTGCATCTCCAGGGACACCAACTGATCCGCCCGGGGAGGGAGCGGCAGCGCTGCAGCCCAGCCGTGCCGCAGGGCGCTTTGCTGCTGCACAGGAGCAGGCGGAGGTGCCTGTGTTCCATGCAGAGTGGCTCAGGTGTGATCCTCAGCTACCGACGTTTTCTCCCTTACAATCCTCTCTTTCTCAAGCCAGTTGAGTCCTGCTGCTGCCTTTGCTTCTGAGAGCCGTTTCTCGAGAGGAGTGATAAGCTCTACCTGCCACGCACCTGAGTCCAGCCCAAACTGCTCCCCTCCTCCCCTAAATATCCCATCTTTGGTGCTCTGGTGACTCACTCGTGAGAGAGGAGCTCGGCACAGAGCCTGAGGTTCTGGTGCTCACACGAGAAAGGCGAAGCGGTGGCATCCTCCTGCGGGTAGTGAGCCACATCCCTGGCTGTGCTCAGCTCAGCTGGGGGGGCTGCACTCCGTCCCCGGAGAACGCCCCCTCTTCCTCCACACCCCACAGCTTTCTGAGCTGTTCGAGGTGGCAGAAGGCACCTTCCTGCATCCCAGAACCGGGCCCCATGGCTGCGGGGAGCAGTGGGGTTGAGAACAACCCTCTCTCCTGCCGACCTGACACCGTGCGCTCCAAGTGCCTTTTGCGAGGACAGCGCGGCGCAGCCCAGGCTGCCGAAGCTGTGCCTGCGGCACCGGCACCCTCCGCACTCGGCTCCAGGCAGCGGGCTGCCCTGCGGAAGGGCGCGGGAGGAGTCGGAGGTGTTCTGGCCGCCACGGTACCATCTTCCCGCTGCCGTTTGCCCAGACCCACCAAAAGTGACAGTGCCAGTGCAAGGGAAGGAGCATCCATTCTCCACGCCCGTCGACGCTGCCTGGCAGCCCTACAGTGCCCTTCCTCTCCCTGTCTGCCTTCCCTGTGCAGGGAGGCCAAATGGCTGCACAAACCCAGCAAGAACGAAAGGGCCCGCGGGAGCCCGGGGAGAGCCCTGTGTGGGTTGCAGGGACAGGGGGCTTTGCAGCAGCTTCCACTGCCTGGGGACAGTCTCGGTCTCCTGCAGCCCTGCAGGAGTCCGGTGAAGATCGTTGTTCTTCCACCGCAACCTGTCCGTGGTTAAAAAAAAAAAAAAAAAGGAAGGAAGAGGGAAATTTCCCCGAGATGTAACCTGTGAGTTTAGGGTCCCGGTGCCGGCAGGTGGCACCCCAGAATGCACAGCCTTTCTGTGAGCGTGGTGCTGCTTACCAGAGGGGCCTTCAGCCTCCTCAGTTCTCCCAGCACCGAGGGGGCCTCGGGGGCTCTGTCGCTAGGATGGGTAGTCATCAGAAAGGACCCTGAAAGGACCCTTTGCTCCTTTCTAAAGTGTGTTTCTGAGTGCTGAAGGAAACAGCACGAAAGAATCTAGAACAAGCCTCAGCAGCATTACACGTTAATAAAATGTCTGTGCCAGGGTGCTGGCTCCTGTTGCCCCTAACTTTGCAAGATACCAACCCTGTGAGGTGAAATGGCCTTCAAGAGCTTTCCTGCAGCTTCATCTGGCTTTCCTTGGAGAATTCACAGCTGGAAGGATCCACGCTGTCCAAGAGTGTCACTAAGAAAAGTCACAGGAGTCCCAGCCATGGTGGAAACATTGTGTGATGATTCTTCTACTGTGGAACAACATGAGGATGTGATTGAAGGACGTAGGCATGCAAGTAGGTCAACTAAATGTGTGCAGGCAATGATCTCTTTCTTTTTAAGAGCCTAACTTAGCAATCTTGTCAAACTGTGTTTTTCTCTGCACTTGTGGAATGAGGTGGACTGTAACTGCTTCTGGTTACCTGTGCCCAGGGAAGCTCCTCTGACCTTCACAGGCTGTTTCCTGACAATCACACTGTTTTCATCTAGAAGCTGTAACTGATGGTGGTTTTTTGTGTTGTGTGTCTGGGCATGTGAACACCATTCTTGTCTGTCCTGATCCAGTAAAATAAGTAAACTTTGATATGAGGAACCACTCTTTCTCCTTGAAGCTCAAAAGTGGACCTGCCCCACTGTGCCAGGCAGGATCAGGCAGCATCCTCTGCACTGGCCTCACACGGAACTGGAGGGGTGGCATCTGCAGAAGGGCTGAAACGGTTCAGGAAATGCTGGGCAAGGAGGCGGCAAGAGGCTGCACAGAGGTGGGTGATGCGATGAGGAACAACTGAACCAGGACAGAAGAGGTGGCTGACATTTGCCACTGCAGTTGCCATTTTCCCACCTTTACTCCCATTTCAGCATCAGCAAACTGAATTGCCTAGGTCACAGGAATGGCACTTTCAACAGACTTCCACTGAAATGGCTTAAAAATAATCGCCAGTGCTGAACGCAGAGCCACCGGGTCTGGGCACAGACCATGGGGACATTGGTCATCACACCATGTTTGGACCTATGCAAGCTCCTGAGCCCCAGCCCATCATCATCCTCAGCTGTCCGCGGCAGGGACAGGAGCACTTCAGAAGTTAATTAAATTCTCACCCCTCACCTGATCCACTCCTCCTCTTCCCAGTGCTCCACTTTGCTGCTTCAAACCGAGCAGCGGGAGAGGGAAGGGAG